TCTAGCTCAATTACGTATACATGGAGCAATCATTTGTAAATTGAGTTATCATATTTGTAAATATCAAAATTTTAATATTTTTTAATTAATGTATTTGTTAAATTTTAGACATAAATATAAAATAAATAAGATACATAATTAATGTATTTATGTCCTATGTAGTTTTATAGAAAATTTCATTTCGCTCAATCATGTTTTCTATGTGCAATTCAATTTCAAATTCGTCCCTTAATCAATTCTAGCGCCACATGTTTACCTGCCGAATCACGAGATAGACTGTTGAATTGAGTAATTAATTTTAAAAAAATTAAATTACATGTATACTATTTTTATCTTATAAATATACGCAAGAATAATAAAAATAAATTATTTACATGTAAATTTAATATCTCAAATTATTAATAATATTGTATTCACTATAAATATTTACGACACATATATATATACATAATTTTTATTTTTAAAATTAAAAAATATTTAAATATACATATTCAATAATCTGGTTAAACCGGGTTAACTCGATCAACCCGGCCGTTACCCAATCATTCACCCACTCACATCGGCCTTAGCTCCTGGTTGACTCGCCAAGCCAATCTAGGTAACAAATATCTGGTTCGGTCTACTTTTTTATTTTAATACTTCTCTTAACTAATATATTTCAAAATTATAATATAAAATACAATTGGATATTTTATAATGCTCAATTGCTCGATGAATATATGAAACATTACTAAATAACCCATTGCTAGACATTTTTTATTGAAATTTAAAGTCCATCTCGAGCACTTGAATTTTCTGTTCAGTTGAGTCAAACTTCAAAAAAAAGTCGAGCCTAACTTGATAAGACCAATGCTTGACTCAAAGTAGTTGATTTGCACCTCTAAGCATAAAGTCGAGCCTAACTTGATAAGGCCAATGCTTGACTCAAAGTAGTTGATTTGCACCTCTAGGCATAAGGGATATGAACCTTCATTCATCTATAGATTCTAGGGTAAATTGTGATTGTTTTGAGTTCATATTTCACTAGGTTTTGTTTATTGATTGGCATGATTATAATAATAAGAAATTGAATAACTTAATAAGCTAAGTGAAATCCAGCCAAGAGATAGAGTGGGCTTCTGGCTGTTGATCAAGATAATATGGAAAGAGAACAAATATGTCAAGTTTAAATTTTTAATGTATGTCTTATTCGACCAAACATGATATCATAATTATCTTTCAATCAGCCCAAACAAAACGGTTGGTTATTTCCTCGAATTTCGACGTGTGGTTTTTTTTTTCTTATTATTATTATTATTATTATTATTATTATTATTATTATTATTATTATTATTATTATTATTATTTTGACAAAGTTTTCTTACCTTGAATCATGTGAAGTTTATTGACTCGTGTTTTTTGGATTTTGTTTTACATCGGTCATCTGAATCAAAATTCTACATTTCTTCCAATAGTGTAAAAGGTTTATCTATATATTGGAAAAGAAAAAACCTATTGACCTTATATTTGATAATTAGAGTCTTTGGATCAAACTAGATGTTTTGGGATGAATGAGGGGTTTTACTCGTTAGAACCTTTAATATAATTGTTTGATAAGCAACGACTTAAAATGTTTTTAATAAATTGAAAAAATTAATTTGGAAAAAGTTCAGATATACCTAATATCTGAGCTTTTTGGAAACATATAATTGCAATTTTAACATATTAAACAGCTAATCATTTATCAAATATTTTTGCATATCGTCCCATCTAATCAATTAATCAAAATTGTTAATCCATTCACTAAAGTAATCAAAAGTTAAAATTGTTAATCCATTCACTCAACTAATCAAAAGTTAAAGTTGTTAATTCAATCGGCTATATCGATAATTTCTATCCAGAGAAGAGATTATTAATAATGAACCAACTATCGGTTATTCGTTATCTAATATGTGATAAACCAGGCCTTTAACATAAACAAAAATTACGCATAATATATATATCCCTATCCATTTTGAGCAATGTGTACTCATAAATCCATCTCATATGATTGATTTATGAAATTGATTAAGCAAAATATAAGATTGTGAAGATTGTTTGGAGAAGAAAATTGTGCTTCTTGGAATAATAACAATTATCTAAATTAGAATAAAAAACCAGTCACTATCAACCATAAAAATTCAATGTTTGCTCCCTTTTCGACAATTTATTAGGTCATTGACGAATAACATTCATAATCTTTGGCATCACTCATAATCATGGAAAAAGTATTATACCATGATTTTGTGTTGTTATTATTAGGGGCATAAAGATAAATTTTTCGGAACACACTTCCCTAGCATGGCCATTCCCCTACCCTTTACAACTCCAATTATAGCAAATTAGCATGGACCCTAATATCCTCTCACCCTTACGTAAAATATATATTGCATGTATACTTTTATTTTATTAATTAAAATAAAAACTAACATATATACTCGAATTGAATTATGTTCTCTATGCAATGTTTCCGTCATATGTATCAATTATACAACACCGAGAGAATCATCACGCTGTAGTTGCAATTGATATTCCATCGTGAATATGCTAACACATCTTCGCATATGAACGATATAATATATCACAAAACGTCTCGCACCAAAAACGTTGTTCGTTGAATTTATAGTTGTTATGTTGTATTTTCTTTTCTAGATCATCTTTTCTCAAAACGCTGCTCTTTTAAACTATTTCAGAATCAGTGCTTTATGTTTAAAAAAACTAATGAAATACGTTCGTTAACAAATGGGCTAATTAACGAATTTGATTGGTTAAACATTCTTCTAATTTAGCAACAATCCGCTAATAAACAAACGAAACCATAATATTATTTATCCTAAAATTATACATATATATGTGTGTAAGTATGTGAGGAGAGAGAGAGAGAGAGAGAGAGAGAGAGAGAGAGAGAGAGAGAGAGAGAGAGAGAGAGAGAGAGAGAGAGAGAGAGAGAGAGAGAGAGAGAGAGAGAGAGAGAGAGAGAGAGAGAGAGAGAGAGAGAGAGAGAGAGAGAGAGAGAGAGAGAGAGAGAGAGAGAGAGAGAGAGAGAGAGAGAGAGAGAGAGAGAGAGAGAGAGAGAGAGAGAGAGAGAGAGAGAGAGAGAGAGAGAGAGAGAGAGAGAGAGAGAGAGAGAGAGAGAGAGAGAGAGAGAGAGAGAGAGAGAGAGAGAGAGAGAGAGAGAGAGAGAGAGAGAGAGAGAGAGAGAGAGAGAGAGAGAGAGAGAGAGAGAGAGAGAGAGAGAGAGAGAGAGAGAGAGAGAGAGAGAGAGAGAGAGAGAGAGAGAGAGAGAGAGAGAGAGAGAGAGAGAGAGAGAGAGGTGTAAAATGGAAGCAAAGGTGGGAGAAAATTTTGAAAACAGAAATAGAAAGAAAAAGGTGGTTGATTGCATGGTGGGACTTGAAAGAGGCTCAGCACAACACAAATAACTTTTGGTGCATGACAAATAAAAAGGGACCAATTGGGCCCTTTAGGCCTGCACCGGTGGAGGGCCTGGAAAGGGATAGTCACTTTTTTCACTAATTTTGCAAAATCACGCAATGAGGTGTGGGAACAAGCCCAAGTGGAGCTGCCCCATTGGTGGGCCGGTTAGACCCCACTTTCCAGATTATATAATAATAATACACAAAAACAACAACCACATTTGAAAAAAAAATAATAACAATGTTAAAAAATTAATTAGCAATAGTTATTTTTTGAAAATGTGAGACAGTGGAGGTAGAATTCACTACACCATATCAATATCCAAAATTCTTATTTTAATATATATTTTTTAACTGCATAATTAGATAATTTGTAGTATGTTATTTGGCAATTACAACCATTACGTAAATATAATTTTTTTAATAGATATTCATACTTTCATTTAAAAATGCCATGTAAAGTTATTGGGAAATAAATAAAATAGAGAGAAATAAATAAACAATTTATACTTAATTTAATTTGTTATGTGCTCTCTCCCACTCACACACTTTGCCATTGTTTAATGTTTAGGATTTGGAAGCTAATGTTTTTGTGCTTTGGATGCTTTTTTCAATTTCCACTATCTTTTTGGCCAAGGTCAAACCAAATGACCTATATAAAAGTCAACAAATCTTTTTCTTCAAAGCTCTTGGATTCTTCTAAATGAAGGCACACGCATCTTATAGTGGGATACAATACATTTTGAAGGTTTGCAAACATATGTGGAAGACAATCCACCTTAATTAACTACCAAGAATAAAATAGTAAGAAACAACAGTAATTAGTATAACTTTTACTACTTTAATTAATAATTACTCTTCTATTTTTATAGTGCTAATCAAGCTTTGTCATTTCATTAGACCCCTACTTTGCATAAAGGAGTGTAATCTTCAAGCATCTTATTAAAACAAAATTTAATTATTTCAATCTGTTCTCTGTTCTTGCATTAATTATTTATATAAAAACAATGCGCAAATGTTGGTCATTAGACTGTCTAACTGTTAGTCAACCACGTCTTCTTATAAAAAATGTGTATTTATTATTTATACTATAAAATGTCAAATTTAAATAATAACATCTGATTATCAAATTATTAATTATGGATAATAGTTACACCTTTAAAATTGATGTTGTTTCAAAAACAAGTCTAGCTAACAAAAAGTGGGATTTTGTGATTTTTTCCATTCCAAAATTCATGTAATTGTATATGTACCATTCCCCCCTTTAACAACATAATCATTGCTATGTTTCTAGCAATCACATGGTTGTAAATGTTCACTTAATTTCCTATTCATTTCTATTAAAGTTACCTAATTAATCTCGATTTTTGGACTAATCTATTGCACCTGT